CCGACAAATCTTTTGAAAAATCGATTTTGAATCAAATTGTCAAAAATGGACTGCTTTGCCAAATACAGAGTCGCCACCTAAATGTTTTGAAAAATTTAGAAAACCCATGACTCGTGCCAAAGGTCACGTGTCCGTCATTACTAAAATTGTCTCGGCTCAAGAACTTAGGTACGAGAGGGAAAGGTCATGAATGAATTGAGCACCCCCACTCACCCGATCAAAGATCGGCCTCTATTAATCATGATATGAATCTTATTTATATTATATGCTTTTGTTCTGATTATTAGGCTAGCATTACTATGTGATGCGCGCACACACAAGTATAGACTAACTTGTAAGAATCAAAACATTTCAAATCGTGTTTTGTTTTGAAAATTATTTCGAAATATGTACCACTTGAAAAAGTGATCTCATATGAATATTACTGAAATTATTCTAATTTAAGCAACTAGCCTTCATCCACAAGCATTCAAACAATTATAGCACTTAAGTACTTAGCCTCATGGCAAGCATGCTAGACATGGCAACAATCACACTCATGCAATATGCTAAAGCGAGTAAAGGCTCACCTAGTACTCCAAGCCAAAAAATGATAGAGTTAGAAAAAATGTATGACCCTAACTATGGGATATGACTAATGTAACACATGCAATATGCAATTACTAGGCTCAACTACTAATATGGCATGTGAATCAATTTGATAACATGCGGTCTAAGCATGTATTCAAAGAAGTATATAAACTAACAATGCAATTAGAATGATGAACCGAGCATCAATGCATGCAATACAAGTGAATGCAAACATGAAGTATGCTAAACAAAACATGATGTCCCTAAACTAACTATCATAAGCTAGTAAATAAAAAGGAAAAAGAAGTGGGGTTAGAAGACACACATTATTACATTGCGCTCTCACGAAGGAGAGTCCGAATGAGCTAACTAATTAACTAGCTAAGCTAATTATTACAAAACAAATTAAATTAGCTAAACTACTTAACTAATTATTACAACACAAAAAATCAACTAACTATTCTAGTTAACTCACTGATTACAAAATAAAATTGAATAACTAATTAGTAACAACACATATCAAAATTAATTAGCTACGACTAGTTAATTACAACGGATATCTAAACTAAGTATTTAAACTTAAAACAAACTCGGAATGCAAGGAATGATCATGCACGTGCTTGGTTTCCACCCGAAAAGCCACTGTTTTGGTTTCCACTCGAAAAGCCACTGTTTTGCTTTCGGAAAGCCTCTGTTGCACAATAGAACACTAACACTGTTGCCCACTTCCAAAACAGCTCTGCTTGGCTTAAAGAACACACTGCTGAATTTTGCATCAGTGGCCGGTCGGCTAGTAATGAAGATTGCCGGCCACCAGTGATGGCCAGCTAGCCATCAATGGTGGTCTGCCAGCCACTGCTACCCAGTTCTCCTTGCTGCAACAGAGGAAAAACAGAGCATATACAGAGTATTTCAAGGGCTTGTTTGCACCACTCACCCCTCCTTTTCATGAGCAAATCAAAGGACTAGCAAGTTCGGTTCACAAACCATCAATGAATGTAATTTCATTGCATAATGGCTCATGAAACCAAGTGTGCAAGTTTAATAAATGCAACAAAACAAGACTCATACCACCTCCCTATCATGGAAGATCAAGGGAAGTAGTAACCTTGGAGACTTGAATCATTTCATCACTAATGAGTATGAAATGGTTCAAGTTTCTATGCGTTCAATTAATGTCCGATTGAACACAACCAAATTATTATCTTCACCATTTTTAGCCTCAATTTTAATTACTCCATTTTAAGTTACCAACCATTCTTTAATCAATTGAATCCAAACAGTGAGTTTAAGTCCTCTAGTGGAGTGAAGTACCAATCCAAGAGTTAACTTAAGACATAAAAGAGATGTCATGCCGTTAATAATGAACCCCTAAAAAGGATTAAACCATTAAGCATGACAACCTCAATCTCATGCTTAAAAGAACAAGAGGCTTGAAGCAACTCTCAAAGCAAAACAAAAGCCAAGAAAGGAGGGATGTTACAGAGATTATTAGTGCTAAAAATGAGTGAGAAAAACATAAATAAAAATTATCAACTCAAAGGAGATGGTGTCTAAGGCCTAGAACACCAAGCTCATGAGGACAATTACACTACAAGTATGCAAAACAAAGCTCAAATGCAACTACTAGCCCAAAACAGTACTAAAACAATCTAAAATAAGTCCTAAAACATGCTGGAATTGAGCTAACAAAAGCTAGATTAATATGCTAAAACATGGCACAAGCTAGGCTAGTAAGCAAGACACAAGGAGGGGAAGCTAACCCCTCCAAATTTGGACTTCAAAACATAATTTTGGCTACTGAAAAAACTCTGAAAATCAGTGTTAAAAAGCTTAAAAACAGATAGTAAAAAGATGGAAACACAAGGGCAAAGGCTTCCAAAACAAGGTGCAAAGAAGGATGGAACACTCATCAACCTTTAATGGCCTTAAAACTCAAGTTTTAACCGAAAAATACAAATGTTTTACAGCCCAAAAACTGTTGGAAAATAGCAAGAAAAATAGTAGAGAAAGCAAGCAAATAGACAAAGCCTTGTACCTCTTGAAGAGAATAAGCAATTCAAGCAACAAAAACAAGACAACACGCCCTTCAAGAGCTCAAACCAAGCTTAAAAATACCTCAGCTCAAAGATGAGAAGATTTGGTTAAGGATGTATAGGCAAAGGTTAAGGAGTTGTAGGCAAAAGTGTAGGAATTTGCTAGAAAGAGAGAGAGAATTGTAGAGAGAGGAAAAATTTTGATCTCAAAATTTTCTAACCCTAAAACATGAGAGAGGAGTCTTCTACATATAAAAAACATAAATTTTCTACAAGGATATCCAGCCCTACACGTGGGTGAAGATGCATGCATCTGTGCACACAGCTGGCACAAAATATCTGCAAAAGAAACTGGTGGCTGGCAAGCCACATCAGTGGCCGGCAGCCCAAAAGTGATGGCCGGCAACCCAAAAGTGGTGGCCGGTAGGCCACTAGAGGCTACAAGCTGGAAAAGCTAGGCTTGGTCCAAAACCGGGACAACAAAGGTACAAAGTTTGAAAGGCTCAACGTTATGGCATTCTGCTGAGGCCTTCGAGCAGTTGGTAAGCAAATGCGTTCATCATCGGGTGTGCATGCGAGGACGTCCAAGTCGTAAGGGCCATAAAAATAGGGTGTCTACAGGCAACTTGCCATAACTTATTGAAATGTAATTGAAAAACACTGTGGAAGGTAAATCAACGAAACAGGAGCAACCAGTCATGCAATTCATATCACCCAGAATGTATGAGCATGTATGCATAATCCAAAGCACATGGATTAATCAGAGGGGAAAATGACAATCCCAACAGAGTTTTGAAATGGTCAGAGACAACTTTCGAAAGTTGAATTATATCAGAATCATCATGGGGGTGAGCTCACCCAAATCCAGGGGATAACGTCCAACGAATGGCTTTGAGCGGACGGAGAGAAAGGTTGGATCCATGCCCCTTGTTCAAATGATGACCCGATTAGATGCACTGAAAATTGTCCCTAGTGTCCAGTCATTGGCCACTAGTTGGGTTTATGCCCCTTGTTTGATAGATGGCCCAGTCAGATGTACTGAAAAGTGCCCCTAGTGTCTAGCCACTGGCCACCTTTTTAACATTATGCAGGCACATCAAATCCTAGAACGGTTGTTAACCCATCAGACTCATGCTTCTCTTCTGTCCTAGTATGTTGAGAACTTACTCCAGTCTCCTCCAAAGCAGTGACAGATTCCTCACATACACTTTGCAATGATCATGAATGCAATGCCCCTTGTATGGGCACTCTCAGTTTGTTTATAAATTCCGCACATGGACTTTTTTTTTGAGTTTGGAGCAAACATTCGTGTATGGAATTTTGGCAATGCCACCCTATTAAACTTTGAGCTATAGACACGCTAGGGTGACTCGATGAAGAGCACTTTCAAGAGACAAACACGTTATGGTGACTTGATAAAGAGCGCATACTGAAACAAATACCAGGCACGACACAACAGAACTCATAATTGACCCAAAAGCTGAAAAAGACTCTCAAGGTAACTGATCATTCATAGTGCCCCTAGTATTACTTATGATATTATTATTAAGATGAGGAGATAAAGTATAATATTTTGCTTCAGTATATTTCTTAAAAATTAATCCTCTGATATGACATTTCCTCTAATTTTTTCTAATTCTATTTTTACTGTGATTAATTTGATTTTGACTTATTGTGGTGGCCATCATTATTTTTTTATTGTTGGAGAAAATTTGTCATCAAATGTGTTTGTTATTTGTTGGAAGGCTGGTGGGTTTGAATTTGTAATTCGAAAATGTTATAGGTCCTAAATTTTTTATCAAATAAATGATCTAATATTTCACATAGGGGTAGGGTTCACAAAATTGAGGACCCCACACCTATGTGAGACATTTGGTCATTTGTTTGGTATCAAATTTGGTATCCCTAACATTATTCTTTGTAATTTTTTATAAGTTTCCACATTAATTAAAATTCTGTTATTTTCTATCGATAAGAGCATATCCAACCCAATCCTCTCACTAAGAGGATGAAAATAAATTTTTTTATTCAAAAAGTAAATATAGAGTATGTCACTATTCATTCAAACTCTAACCACAAACCTTCATTTTCTTCCAGATTGGGTGTTACCGGACATCCGCCCAGACGTCCGACCGGTCAAAAGCAATTTTTTTTTTTTTTTAAACATTAACTTATACACATAATTTTTGTTCATTAACAAATATTTAGTTTTGAAATTTTTGTAAAATTTATTTAATATTATACTCATTTTAAAGGTATGATTTCACCCTTTTTGGTCCAAATTTTATAATGGAAATTAAATTTACATGAAGTGCAACATTGTGCATGCAAAATATATTTTTTTTCCCTAAAATATTGTACAAATTTTGACAAAAATTTTAGGTTTTTAGCAAATGAAATTGTAGTTTCTCATGCAAACATGTTGCTCCTTAGTATAAAACTGCTTAAATAGTGTTTCAAATCAGTAATCCCAAGAGAATCACTGCCGAAAAAAATGATATCATCCACATAAACAATCAAGACTACAACCCCAGAGGACTAGCGAACAAAAACAGAATGATCAAATGTAGATCTTTGAAAACCATAGGCAAGCACAACATGACTGAAGCGGTCAAACCAAGCACGAGGAGATTACTTCAATCCATATAAAGCATGTTAGAATGTGTCCCACATCGCCTGTAATTGCCCTATCTGTATTGGTTATAAGGCTCCAGTTTCCCTCTCCTTAATACCTAGGTTTTAAGGAGAAGTGTGGGTTCGGCTTTCCAACTTAGTATCAAAGCTTGGTTGAGCCTGTGATTGGTGTGCCGTTTGTCCGGCTACTGTATGTTATGGTCCAGGAGGGTGTGTTGGAATGTGTCCTACATCGTTTGGAGTTGCCCCTTCTATGCTAGTTATAAGGCTCTAGTTTCCTTCTCTTTAATGCTTGGGTTTTAAGGAGCAGTGTGGCCTATTTTTTTCAATTTGGTATCAGATCTTGGTTGGGACTGTGATTGGTGTGCCGTTTGTCCGACTACTGTATGTTGTGGTCCAGGAGAGTGTGTTGGAATGTGTCCCACATCGTCTAGAATTACCCCATCTGTACTAGTTATAAGGCTCCAGTGTCCCTCTCCTTAATATCGGGGTTTTAAGGAGAAGTATGGGTTAAGCTTTTCAATTAAGCCTTCCGCAAACAACAAACAAGGTGCTAAGAACCAATCACAACATAACCAAGAGTTTGGTCCATACATACCTCGTCTTGCAAATCACAATGGAGAAAGGCATTTTTTATGTCAAGCTGATATAAGAGCTAAGAACAACTAACAGCAACAGAGCGGAGTATCTGAACTGAATTAAGACAAGCCATAGGGGAAAAGGTCTCATGATAGTCAACACCATAAGTTTGGATGTAGCCTTTTGCAACTAAACAAGCCTTAAGGCGTTCAACGAAGCCATCAAGGAGATACTTAACAGTGTAAATCCAACGACACCCAACAAGAGGCTTCCTAGAGGGAAAAGTAGTGAGCTCCCATGTCTGATTCTGGTAGAGAGCAAGCATCTTCTCATCCATAGCATGTTCCTAGCTAGAGCTGGACATAGCATGTCGATAAGAAGTGGGAATAGACAAAGAAGACAAACTACAAGCAAAGGAAAGGAAAACAAGAGAAATATGAGCATATGAAACAAACTTTGAAATAGGATGCTGAGTGCAAATAGGTTTACCTTTACACAAAGCAATAGGCAAATTAGCAAAGGTTGGAGGAGAAGAGAGAACAAGAACCTCAAACGGAGAAGATATACTAAACGTCGATTGTGGGGTCTCTAATAGACCTGTAATGGAGAAGACAAAGTGGGCAATGGAGAAAATGGAAGGGAGGCACATGTGGCAGCAGAAGATGAGATGAAAGAGTGGAAGAGAATGACACATCAGGTATGGGAAGAGTAGATAAAGGAGTGGATGAGGAAAAGAAAGGCTCCCCCTCATGACACAAGATCAAATCTAGAGACAACTGTTGGCCTTGTGTAGAGAAGAACAAGGTGGACTAAAAAAAAGTGACATTAACACTGACTAAATAACGACGGGACTTGGAGTGATAACAATGATAACCCTTTTGTGTACGAGAATAGCCTAAAAAAACACACTTGCGAGCACAGGGGGAACAACTTATCCTAACTAAGATCAAGAACATAAGAAAATGCTACTCAACTAAAAACCCGCGGTGGAAAACGGAATGAGGAACTAGAAGGATATAGCAAGGAGAACAGAGATTGATTATGCAACACAACTGATGGCATATGATTAATGAGAAAACATGTTGTAAGGACAGCAACGCCCCAGAAGTGTTTAGGCACTTGCATGTAAAATAATAAGGTACAAGCAACATCTAATACATGACGGTGTTTCCATTCAGCAACCCCATTTTGCTGAGAAGTGTGAGCACAAGTAGTCTAATGAATAATACCCCGACCAACACAAAAGGAGTTAACAATAGACTGAATATACTCTAAGGCATTATCAGAACAAAACACTTAAATATACTTACAAAACTGAGTATCAATTTCATTATAAAACGTGAATAATATGTGAGGAACTTAGAGCGATTTGTCATTAAAAACAACTAAGTCATTCGGGAGAAATCATCCTCAAAAATAACAAAATATAAAAAACCATAAAGGGTGAAAGTACAAGAAGGACCCCATATGTCCGTGTGGACTACATCAAAGGACTCAAACTCACATCTAACACTATGACTAGAAAAAGAACTACAATGATGCTTTCCAAGCTGACAAGTTTCACATTCTAGGGTAGACGCATGACTCAAACCAGGAACAGCAAGCTTCAACTTGGCCAGAGACGAATGACCCACACGAAAATGTCATTGCAAAGGAGAAATGGTGGCACTCAAAATAGGAGTCGGAGGAAGACAGGAGCTGTCAGTATCCAAATAATAAAGGCCTTGCTGCTCATGCCCCAAACCAATCATCTTCTTGGTCTTGAGGTCTTGCAACACACAAGAAGTAGGAGAAAATGTTATGGAACAATGAAGAGCTTTAGTCAATTGACTAACAGACAACAAATTAAATAGAAACTGAGGAACATATAGACTAATGGGTAAAGATAAAACAGGGGTGGAATGAAGGGTACTTATCCCACTAACAGGCCGAGAGGACCCATCAGCAAGAACAATATTATGGGTAACAGGATGTAAAGCATGAAAAAATGATGAATTACCATAAATGTGAGAACTAGTACCAAAATCTAGAAGCCAAGGTTGGTTAGATTGGGCCATGCATGCAATATTACCTAAACCCACCAAGGTGGCAATAGAGGATGAGGGAAGAGCAGACCGAAGAAGAGAAGTAAGCTCATTAATCCAAGTAGTGAATGCCTCATGAGAATCAGATGATGAGCTACAGAGCCAAAGGGAGTCGGGGTCGAGGTAGCAACATCAGTAACCTGATTTACATGATTAGTCTTGCCATACTTTTGCCAACACCAAGGCTCAGTATGACCAATGGAACCACAATAATCACATTTCTAGTCACCATGACAAGCTGGACCACGACCACCACGTGAACCACTACACGTGAGCCACGATATGAACCACTATCACAAAACTATTCCCATGGGAACTACTCTTTGGGAACCACGAGACCCACTGATTGTGGTACCCGACCATAAACCAAAGCGGAGAAAGCACCAATCAAAGGAGTAAGGCCAGAAATACTAGAATTGTGTCCCAAAGAAGATCATAATAAGTGAGAATATGCATTGGCTGCTGAAGGTAAAATCTCGCTGGCCAAAATCTAATCCTTGAAGCCACGCAAATTGGAATCTAAACCAGTGAGCAAAGAAGCAACCATAAACTCCTCCCAATGCTGCTACTGTTGGGCCAAGTCCATACTGAAAGGTCGATGTTGTAACAACTGATCCCATAGATGTGTAAGGCTGCTATAATACTCAGAGGGTGATCAACTAGATTGCTTAGTAGCAAAAATCTGCTCGTACAATCATACACTCTAGACACACCACTCTGATGCAAAAAAGAATCAACGAGAGAGTCGCAAATTTGCTTAGACGTCTCACAAAACTCAACAGTGGTAGCAACAATAGGTTCCAAGCTATGCCAAAGCCAACCCATAACACAAGAATTCTCGCTGCACCAATCATCATAAGTGGTATCCGTTTCAGATAGAGGAAGTGCAGTAATGGAACGCAATTTTTTCTTATCTCGCAAAAAAACATTAACAGCATGAGCTCAAGCAAGATAGTTTAAACATTCAATTTTTTGGTAGTAACAGACTTAGGCAAGTCATCATCTTTGACCAAAGGAGAGTGAGATACTCAGCCTTCACTGCTGGAGGTAATGCATCAGCCATCAGACCCAGGTAGTAAACAAATACCCAAAAAAAAACTATAGAACAAAACCACCTGAAGAACCACCCAACACCAATAACCAACAATCCAAATTACCTAATTAAAGTAGTTATAGAGCTGTTCCAGCCATAGACAAGCAATCAGACCAACAACAGTGTGCTGAAATAGGTAGAGAAATGCCAAAAAGGAATGATATCTCAACCCCAAATGCGCCAAGACATCAAACAAACATCAAAGAAAGCCCTAACAGGTTCAGTCAGCTCCCATAGATGATGTTTTAACAACCAAAACTAGGCAACAGGTGCTGGAATCATATATCACAAGATGGGCCACAATATTGCCGAAAAACATTCAAAAATCAAAAACTTACATCAGATGTCTCCAATTAATTGTGTAAAAATATCCATAAATACCAGGACGAAATTTTGAATCAGACAAGGGTTTTCCCAAATCAAGTCGTCCGTACGGACCTGACACTATGCTGACGTCATCGTGCGGATAATGATGTCAGCACACCATTGTTACCTTGCAAAGATCTCCAGAGTCTGTTGAACCTTGCTCTAATACCAAGTCAAAGATTAAAGTACACAGAATTTAAGGTTAAGGTGAGAGAGAGAAGAAGAAGAAAGCAGAGGAGGAATACGTAAGTAATAGGGTTCCGGGTTTATTAATTCAACCCTTCACCTCAACACTTTATTTATATTAAACTCAAGTCTTACATGATGACAATAGTACCCCTCCTTATATATATAAATGACACACATTACCTCAACTATAAATAAATGACACACATAACTTCAACTATTTTAACAAATTTGTGTAACAAAATATGTAAACACGTGTCATATAGTACAAAATATGGCGTTTTCTACATTAATATGTTGTTCCAGAGTTGGTTATGACAGGTTTAGAGGTCCCCTATGGTGTATAGAATTATTCTTATAACTATGTCACTGCCATATATCATTTTGGATTTTGTATAGAAATTTTGGTAGTCTTAACATTTTCTTTATATAAATATGAAAGAAAATTAACATTCCTAGATCTTATTGGCATAACAGAATGATACATGCATTTTAAGGGTCATATACTGGTCATGAATTTGAATTTGAAAGGGAAAAAACAAACAATGAGGAAAACAAAAGCACAATGAATACTTGTTTGGTAAGTAGGAATATAATCTTTTATGCAATAATGTCCACAAGAATTAATGATTTTCCAAAGTGAGTGTATATAGAAAGTATGCACTTACAATTTTGAGGCGATTTAAGCCATCAAAGTTGGGTTTGTGGTTCCCAAATACTTGTAATACCTCTTCCCTTGCACGTTGTTGCCAATTTTGATGCCTACTTAATAAAATCATAGTCCACACTAGCAAAACCGACGTGGACTCCTGCCCAGCAATGTAGAATAGCTTGCACTCTTCAATAACTTCTTCAATAGCCATTCCATCTTTCCTGTTATTCCCATGTTGTTCAATTTCTCTGAGATTGGATTCTAGTAATATACCCAGTAAGTCGTCTTTACTAGTTTCTCCTTCCTTCATTGCCTTCATCCTTTTATTGATGATAACACTCAGTGTAGCGTGTATTTCTTTACCAATTTCTTTCATCCTCCTGTTCCTCTTAGTTGGCAAAAACCTACACATGCAGTAGTGAAGCATATATAGCTAGCTAGAAACTACGATATATCTTTTTAACTATTGGCGTTGGCCCAGTGGCCAGAGCTCGTCAACTTTACTAGGTCATAGGTTTGATTCTCCCTCCCCATTCAATAAAAATAATAAATAAAAACAAAAATAAACATCTTTTTGGACAAATTACATCGTTGGTCCTTAAACTTTCTCCCTTGTGTCAATTTGGTCCTTGTAGCACCCTATCTTTTTTCTTTTCATTTTTTTTTTCTTCTCAAATATCGTAATTTAGATTTCTATTTATCTTTCCTAGTACTGAAATATATATCTTTCACATTTTCTAACAAAAAAAGGAGCTAAACTAATACAACAATGTTAGAGGTGCCTAAAATTTTACCAACTATTTTACTTCCTCTCAAACTAATATATGCAGGTCCAACCAATTAGAAAAATATTCAAATTAAGTTTTTGAGACAATTTGATTTTACCTCGCGCCTGGGATGTAAACTGTACTTGCAGTCTGGATTATAAGTGCAATTAGTTCTTTCTGAAGTTTGAATATCTTTCTTCCATCTTCATAGTTGCTACCAAAAGCTGCGCGAGATATCACATCGCTAGTCAAAGTTTGAAGATAAGGCCACACATCCACCTCACATGACCCTTCTGTTGAGGCAATATTGTTCTCCCATTTGTTTATCATCTCACTACAGCACAAATAAAATGCAGGTACCATATGCTATAAACAAAATCAAAAGACCAAAAAACCAAGTCTCAGTCAGTAACCATATTGCAGGCTGTACACGAAGAAGAAGAAGAAGAAGAAGAAGAAGAAGACAACACTAGGAAACCAATTGATATATATACATATATGTATATATATATGTAGAATTTTGTTCTATCATGAAGTTGCATTTAGACACAGCAAACGACCACTAAAATATTTTACTAATTAGAGCAACTAAGCTTAAATAACTAATATGGTTAAATACACAATTGGTCCTCAAAGTATGCATTCTATGTCATTCTAATCCATGATATTTCAACGCGTCAATTTGGTCCCCAACTTGCCCAATTTGTGTTTAAATGGTCCTTAGCATCAATTCAACCAAATTTTATAATGGAAGCATGGGGTTTTTTTTTTTCTTCAAAATTTGGATGGAAATATCGAACCATATTAGTTGGAGATCAAATTGACTTCATTGAAAAATCGAAGAATGGGAAACTAAAATGAAACAGAGTGCATACTTTGGGGGCCAACACTGTATTGAACCCTAATGATATAAAAAAAAATGGTGGAAATAACCTTCAACTTCTCCATATGGAAAGCCGGGTTGATGATTTTTCTGTGTTTAGCCCATTGCTCACCATCAAGGCTAGTTAGTCCATTGTCTAACAACTTGACAAATGGATTTGACTTGGTCTTTTGATAGTTGAAATTCTTAGACAAGACCTCCTTTACAAGTTCAGGGTCCACGATGTTAACACTAGGTATTGGTCCAAACCACGTAAAAGACTTCTTTCCTGCAACTTATAACCGAAAACGTCAAATAGAAGTTCAAGAGCGATCAAATAAATATTTCTTGAACAAACTGAAGCAAGCAATATATATACGTAAGTAGTGAAGTTCACAAGGCAAATTAAATAAATACACGTGACAATGACATGATGAGTTAATTAATTATATCACAGGACCTATATTTTCCAAACTAAGAAAGTAAAATTCTTGCTTATAGTAAGCAAGAAGAGTTAGTTATGGTAGTTACGACTGTGTCCATCATTGAGTTAGTTAGTAGTGCTACGATGTTCCGTCCGTCATCAACTGAAGACATCATTCTTCTTGCTCTGGTAACAATTTTCTGTCTTTTGGCAATCTCATTAGAGTTTGTTCTCAACTCTGTTCCACAACTGCAACTTCTCAAGTTGAGATGTATCCTCCTTAGTCAAATCTGTCTTGTTTCAATTATCGGAGTTGTTTTGGTTTACATATTCAATTGCTGATTCAAATTCTTCTGCATCTACAGTAATCTTACCTCCTTGATTAAATTTTCTTGTATCCAATTTCACTCCCTTGTGTCACTATCAAAAATTACATTTTGTGGAAGAATCAAGTCGAAACTTATGTAAGATCTAGTTCTCTTATTGGTTATTTTGATGGATTCATTCCATGCCCACCATCATCATTTTTCACTGATTCATCTGGAAATCGCATTAATGCTCATTAAGTTTGGCATTCTCTATCAAGTCAATACGTTTCTTTACTCAGGTCACATATTCATGATCTTTAAGAGCAAATTATTCAATGCTAAGAAGAGACCTTCAATGAAAAATTATACTGACTATATTATCCAAATCAAAAAAGTATTTCCGTTTTTCAATTCTAATATTTTCCTTTTGCTTTGGTGAAGCACCAATAAATCCCAAAATGTAATCTTGTAAACTGTTTAGTCCTTCATTTTTTTTTATAAACCCAAAAGTTCCATTAAAGTAGAAATTACACAAAAGGATAGTCGCTTACATATTTGGGTTCAATTTTTGAGAGATAAAAATGGGATTCTCCAAATGTGAAATTACACATTTGAGCAATCCGCACTATAAAGGCTTTGGAATTTTCCTCCTTCTGGAACGAATCTCACATTACGAACAAAAACGTTACCATTCAATGTAATACTCTGATAACGTAACACTCCAATGTAGCACACTAAAAAACTCATTAGTATACTTTTTCCAAACTAATAACGTAACACTCTTAAAAAACTCGTTAGTATACTTTTTTCAAACGTAACACCCCAATGTAATACACAAAAAAAACTTCTTAGTATACTTTTTTCCAAACGTAACACTCGAATCAATATAATCCCAAACGTAACACTCCAATATAATACACTTCCATGTGACATACACAAAAACACTAAAAACTCCTTTATGTACTTTTTCCAAACGTAACACCCACAATTTAAAATTATACATTTGCCCAAAGCTTATTAAGGAACTTTTGTACTCATTTTGGAATGGTTTAAAGAATCTCACATCCTTGTGGAATGATTTGAAGAGTTTTACATCATTTTTTTGGAGTATTACGGTTGGAAAAAATACACTAAGGACTTTTTTGTATGTTACATTAGAGTTTACACTAAAGATTTTTTTTTTTTTTTTTTGATCGGCAAATGTTAGTTGTTATTTTTTTTTTGTGTTGTTTGAGAAAAATACACTAAGAAATTTTTTTGAAGTGTTACATTAGAATGTTACGTTTGAGTGTTACAGTTTGAAATTAAATATTTGCTCAAAACTTATTAAGGACTTTTTGTACTCCTTTTGAAATGTTTGAAGAATTCCATATTTCCAGTCATTTTTTTACTTTTTTGAAATGTTTTTCAAATAAAAAAAATTTCATATAAAAATTCATCCTAAATTTAATTCTCACATATTGTGTATCTTATCTTTCTAGTGCAAAAGAAAAAAAGACACATAATAGAAATAAGCATAAAACCGTAAATTCAATTTCTAAATAATATATTAAATCTACATTTCCAAAATCAATGAATGGGACTAATTGGTCTATAAAAAAAATTCTTGGGACTAAACGGATCACCATTCCTCAAGATGGTATTTATAGATAAATTTTCCTTTTGCTTTCTAGTGAAATTTTTAATATTTTAATTAATTTTTTTATGTTTTAAATATATTTAAAAAAGTAAAATATTTATTAAAAAAATGGGTTAATTACAAAAGAAATTGACTCTTATAACAAAATAAATCTAAACTTTTTTTATTTTATCAAGTTAGTAAACCCTTATCTTTTAATTAATTTTTAATATAAATCATTGCTTATTTTCGTTAAATAAACTGATGAAAAAACAATATTTTAGTTAAGTGTACATAAAATGTTTAAAATATTTTTTTTTTCTTTAATAACTAAAATGTTACTTTTCGATTAATTTTTTTAAACAAAAATGGGTACATTATTTAAATTGAAAATAAATCAAAAGATTAAGATTTAAATTAATAAAATTTAAAATTCAAAATTTATTTTGTTATAAGAACCCTAAGTTTTTTATATATATATTTTCCTTAAAAAAAATTAATAAATACAAAAAAATAAAATTTTATATTTTTTGTATTTAGTAAATTTTTAAAAAATTATTTTATAAATTTTAGAAGAAATCAATGAGCTATCCCTCTCTAACTTTTAATGGCCAAGTTTGGCAACTCTAATATAATCCATCTTTTTATTTTTTTTTATCACATCATCTCTCTACTTTTCTGCACATCTTTTCATAAAAAGACAAAAAATACACTTTTTAGGTCATCCCAAACAATCCCTAATAGAAGTTCAATATATTTTTTTTATTAGTTAAGGTGTTTCAATAATATTATTAGAAAATTTTCAACACCTAAAAATTTATAAGGTGAAATTTTTCTTTGAATAGTTTGTGAAAAGAAATTTCTCAATAAAAATATTAAGAGATTTCACTATAATGAAAATATTGTATGTAATTTAGTTTTATAAAATCTTAATATAAAAAACCTTAATCTAAAATTTTCTAAATTTTGTACTTTATCAGATTAAATAGATTAATAATTTTGTATTTAATATACTTTTATATATTTTAACATATTCAGTAAAAACAAAAACAAAAAATACGAATTTAAAATATAAAAATCAAATAAAATAAATCCAAAGATAGATGTGTACAATCAGAGTGGAAACGTACCGTAGTTGGAGATTTGGGTATGAAGGAAGGGCAAGACACGACTAGGCACTGCGTCATCGGAGATGCTGATGCGAGTGGAGCTAGCTTCTTTATCCATGGCGGAACTCTCTTTTAGGTCTCCGAAGAAGAGCTTGTATGAGTTTCCATTGAGACCTTGTTTTCTGAGGCAACTCTCTAGCTTCTTCGGTCTTAACCATACCCAATTCAATATTCTCCATGATCCCCATATCAAGCTCAATAATACTACACCAATTATACCACATCCGATTGCACCAGACGACTCATTTATTTTCTCCATATGTGTATCATGAGAGTTCAGAGAGAGAGAGAGAAAGAGAGAGAGAGAATGAGAGAAAGAAGCTTGGAATTGAATTACCAGAGAGCAGAGTATGAGAAAATTGACCCCTTTGTTTTTTAGTCATTTTCTCACTTTTGGATCTTGAATTTGGTTAATTTACTTTTAAAATTAATTTTAATTTAAAATTAGACCCAAAAAAAATATCATATTCACTGTAACATGGAGTAAATTACACCCATCTTTCTAGATATTTTAATAATTATAAAAATCTTTCTTATAATTTTAATAATTACAAAATTTATTTTTTTTTTTTTTTTTTTTTTTTTGACGTTGTCAAGATTTCTACTCCTGTTAATTTAAGTCAAAATGTATTAACTTAGTTGTACAAATGACTATAATGCCCTATACACTTAATACTCTATAATTGTAATTTACCTATATATTAAATTATCATTTTATTTCTTACAATTTATTTTTTTTGTATTTCCTTAACTTTGTATTTTTTTTTCACTATAAATTTTGAACTTTAATAAGTTGAAAAAATAAAAATAAAAATAAAATCAACCATTAATGAAACAGCACTGATTCAGTGCTCTAATTTGATAGCACTAATCTTATCTCTAATGAGCTAGCAGTGCAAGAAAATAAAAAAAACAAAAAAAAACAAAAGCCAAACTATCACATCAATAATAGGGTGCACAAGATGTCACATCATTAGTAGTCAATTAGTGATCTTCAATTAATGATTTGAAACATTTTTCAATTCTATTTTAATAATGTAAGAAATGACAAATTTAAAAGTTTATTATTCTAAAATAATTTATTTATCTTTCATTCCCTATCATCTAGTTTTAATTTATTGCAATGTGATTAGATATTTTTTCATTTTTATATTTATTTTTAAAAATTTTATTATTAAGGTGAGAAATATTGACTTATTTTTTTAATGATAATTAAAATTTGAGCATAATATAGGATTGTGAAAAGATAAATTTTTTATATATTTATAAGATAACATTTGTGTAGACGCGCCCGTGGGCCTCGCTACAGTTCGGACTTGATTTGTGTCACGGTTCTTAATCTGAACTAAAGAGTCTAAATCCGGCAAATCGTTTTGAGAAACAGATTTTTGAAAAGAAGTGCCAAACATGGACTGATTTGCCAGATACAGAGTCGCCACCTAAATATTTTATTTTGGGAAATTTAGGAAACCCTGACTCGGTGCCAAAGGCCACGTGTCCGTCATCACCAAAGTTGCCTCGGCTCGAGAACTTGGGTACGATCGGGGAAGGTCAGCTATGAGCACCCCATCTCGCCCGATCTGAAGATCGGCCTCTACTAACCGTGATATCTTGTTTTGAAAGCATTATGTGTTCTTATTCCAGTTATTAGCCTAGAATTACTATGTTATGCGCACAGCCAAACAAGTATAGACTAGATTGATCAGATCCTGCACTTCATGGCGAAGGCGGAAACAGTTATCGGTAGCGTGACCGGTCTGTTAGTGGTACGCGCAGTACAAAGCAGCATCATGTGTGAGAGGGAGATTCTTCGGGAGAGGCTGAGGTTCAAGGGGTTTGAGGTGCCCCCTTTCGGCAAGAATCTGAAGTGCCTTAGACAGAGGCATGTAGAGAGCATGAAAGATCCTGCGCCCTCGAGGCA